AGATCTTGTACTTGAGTAAAAGTAGAAGTACTCAGATCTTGTACTTGAGTCAAAGTAGAAGTACTCAGATCTTGTACTTGAGTAAAAGTAGAAGTACTCAGATCTTGTACTTGAGTAAAAGTAGAAGTACTCAGATATTGTACTTGAGTAAAAGTAGAAGTACTCAGATCTTGTACTTGAGTAAAAGTAGAAGTACTCAGATCTTGTACTTGAGTAAAAGTAGAAGTACTCAGATCTTGTACCTGAGTAGAAGTAGAAGTACTCAGATCTTGTAGTAGAAGTACACAGATCATGTACTTGAGTAAAAGTAGAAGTACTCAGATCTTGTACTTGAGTAAAAGTAGAAGTACTCAGATCTTGTACTTGAGTAGAAGTAGAAGTACTCAGATCTTGTAGTAGAAGTACACAGATCATGTACTTGAGTAAAAGTAGAAGTACTCAGATCTTGTACTTGAGTAAAAGTAGAAGTACTCAGATCTTGTTCTTGAGTAAAAGTAGAAGTACTCAGATCTTGTACTTGAGTAAAAGTAGAAGTACTCAGATATTGTACTTGAGTGAAAGTAGAAGTACTCAGATCTTGTACTTGAGTAAAAGTAGAAGTACTCAGATCTTGTACTTGAGTAAAAGTAGAAGTACTCAGATCTTGTACTTGAGTAAAAGTAGAAGTACTCAGATCTTGTACCTGAGTAGAAGTAGAAGTACTCAGATCTTGTAGTAGAAGTACACAGATCATGTACTTGAGTAAAAGTAGAAGTACTCAGATCTTGTACTTGAGTAAAAGTAGAAGTACTCAGATCTTGTACTTGAGTAGAAGTAGAAGTACTCAGATCTTGTAGTAGAAGTACACAGATCATGTACTTGAGTAAAAGTAGAAGTACTCAGATCTTGTACTTGAGTAAAAGTAGAAGTACTCAGATCTTGTTCTTGAGTAAAAGTAGAAGTACTCAGATCTTGTACTTGAGTAAAAGTAGAAGTACTCAGATCTTGTACTTGAGTGAAAGTAGAAGTACTCAGATCTTGTACTTGAGTAAAAGTAGAAGTACTCAGATCTTGTACTTGAGTAAAAGTAGAAGTACTCAGATCTTGTACTTGAGTAAAAGTAGAAGTACTCAGATCTTGTACTTGAGTAAAAGTAGAAGTACTCAGATCTTGTACTTGAGTAAAAGTAGAAGTACTCAGATCTTGTACTTCAGTAAAAGTAGAAGTACCAGAGTGTAGGAATACTCTGTTACAGTAAAAGTCCTGCATTCAAAATGTTCCTCAAGTGAAAGTAGAAAAGTATTCTCATCAAAATATAGTGAAAGTAGCGACAGTAAAAGTAGTCAATGTGCAGATTGGTCCATTTCAGAATAATATATATGATATGTTTTATAATGATTGATCATGAAAGTGTTCTCAAAGCTGGTAAAGGTGCAGCTAGTTTGAATGACTTTGTATACTGCAGGGTAGCTGGTGGATTTACTCCAGGTGGAACTAAAGTCTGATTTAACACTTGATTATATTTCACATCATTCATCCAGATCTGTGAAGTAACTAAAGGTATTAAATACATGTAGTGGAGTAAAAGTACACCATGTACCTCTGAACTGAAATGTACTGAGTAACTTCCCACCTCTCCTAATGCTTCAGAGTGTCTGACAGCTCTCTCATTAATTTAAACGCTGAATGTCACAACAAATCTCCTTCAAACTAAACTGCAAAATGCCACGAGTCATCAACACGCATGTCCTCTCTAAACACACATCATTCATCTTTAAAACTGCGACAGAGGGGTAAACAATTAGTTTATGTTTTAATGGACTTCACAACATCTGCGCTTAATTATTCATCTGAAACCTTTTCCTCAGGTAGCAGCGGAGGAAACTCGTGACACTGAAACATGACAGGAGATAATTATGCAATATGTTCAGCAGGCCACACACACACACACACACACACACACACACACACACACACACACACACACACACACACACACACACACACACACACACACACACACACACACAGACACACACACACAGACACACACACAGACACACACACACACACACACACACACACACACACACACACACACACACACACAGACACACACACACACACACACACACAGACACACACACACACACACACACAGACACACACACACACACACACACACACACACACACACACACAGACACACAGACACACACACACACACACACACACACACACACACACACACACACACAGGCTCAACACTGATACTAGCTTGTGTTTGGATATGACTCCATAAAAGTCATTATAACTCTGCAGATTCCTCCCATCTCTCTGCTTTCATGCGTCTCCTCTCATAACGCGACTTTGTTTCCACGGTTCAAAGTCACACAATGACCCGCTTCGATGTAAATAAGTTAATTGGGAAGAGTGCAACAACCCAACCAAGAGGCAGTGAATGCAGATGTGAATAATGAATGGAGAGCAATTAAGGACAAATGATTGTGAGACAGCAACGACTCCAAAAAAAGACACAAAAACAGGCGAGACGTTACTTATTTAAAGTCTTAAAGGTGGGGTAGGTAAGTTTGAGAAACCGGCTCGAGATACACTTTTTGTTATATTCCATGGAATGCTCTTAACATCCCGATAGCAATGAATATCTGAAGTGCTTTGACAATAAATACATAAAAAAATATCATCTGTGGAAGCCGTAGTACTGTAAAAAGTACGACCAATCATCTGAGCCGGCCCGGCTAAAATAACTGGATGGCCTACCTGCCTGTCAGCCTTCCATCGGTGCACAAACTTATCTCGTGCCCTCATTGGTCATGTGCGCGTTCGTGTGTGTTGGAGGAGGGGCTCTGTAAGGAAGTGGCAGATTTTCTCCGGTTGTGTATTTTCAAATTCTAGCGATCTCGAGCTGGTTTCTCAAACGTACCTACCCCACCTTTAACTGTTGGTGTGTTTCTCCTGGAATAAGGTCTGTGTAACACAAGATGAAGAGATTTTAAGGTTACGACATAAAATACATTAGTACATTTTAAAAAATTATATTTGAGATGACAATAACATCTGACAAAAATGAAAGAAAATTAAAATAATAATAATAATACAGAAATGTCCAATAAATAAAAAACTAATATATAAATGAATGTTCAAATTAAAAAAAGTTATAATAACAATAATAAATACTAAAAGCAGGCGAGAGATACAAGCTATAGGATACAACACTATGATGGGATGACAATAACATCTGCCAAAAAATAAACAATAATATTTAAAACAAATAAATAAATACAAATAAATAAATAAAAAACATTTAAAATTAAATAAATGCAAAAAGAATTATAATAATACCAATAAAAAATACTAAAAGCAAAACAGAGTTTAACAATTGTGTGCTACGTTTGCAGAGATAAATAGTTTGCAGTGCAAAATAAAATAATGGTACTCTTGATTTTCTAGTTGTATTTTATCCAAACGAGGCGATAGTTGTGTGTGTGTGTGTGTGTGTGTGTGTGTGTGTGTGTGTGTGTGTGTGTGTGTGTGTGTGTGTGTGTGTGTGACTTCCCTCCCCCTCTCATTGATTTGCTCCCAGTTGTTGCAGATATGGATCTGAGGAACGCCTTCAGCTCTGATGGAGGATCGGAGCTTTAGTCAGAGCTCTTTCTCTCACATTATTCTTTATGATTGTTGGAGGGGTTTAACAGCGGGAGGGTCTGCAGTAAATGATCTGGAGTAAATGTTCCCCTCCCTCAGAGTCTGTTCCCCTGCCATTGTGACTAATGAGCCTCTCAGTTATTAGATCAATGATTCAGAGTTCCCTCGTCACGCTCTCTGTGTCTGCTGGACGCTTTCCGGATCACCTGTGGCTCCAAATGTGGGTTACTGTCACTTATATTTTAAATCTCACTCTGAAAACGGCACAGGATAAAGCTTGAGAGGTGGTTTTAAAGAGGGACAAAAGAAATGTGGTCAAAGAGACGCGTGTATGTAAAGAGCTTAAAGCGTCATTTTATAGTGTACCAGAAAAATAGCTTTAAAAAGTCAAGTAATAAATAAAATAATAATAATAAAACTAATGGAAAAAATACATATAAATACATTTAAACAAGAGTCTGGTGAGAGTAAAAAAAAATGACATTAAAATTGTGTTTGTAACTGGAAAAGGTTTACTTAAATAATGAATGCGTTAATAGATATTCATCATACAGACAGTGATACTGCAGTGTGTGTGTGTGTGTGTGTGCGTGCGTGCGTGTGTGTGTGTGCCTGCCTGCCTGCCTGCCTGTCTGTCTGTCTGTGTGTGTGTGTGTGTGTGTGTGTGTGTGTGTGTGTGTGTGTGTGTGTGTGTGTGTGTGTGTGTGTGTGTGTGCGTGTGTGTGTGTGTGTGTGTGCCTGCCTGCCTGCCTGCCTGTCTGTCTGTCTGTGTGTGTGTGTGTGTGTGTGTGTGTGTGTGTGTGTGTGTGTGTGTGTGTGTGTGTGTGTGTGTGTGTGTGTGTGTGTGTGTGCCTGCCTGCCTGCCTGCCTGTCTGTCTGTGTGTGTGTGTGTGTGTGTGTGTGTGTGTGTGTGTGTGTGTGTGTGTGTGTGTGTGCCTGCCTGCCTGCCTGTCTGTCTGTCTGTGTGTGTGTGTGTGTGTGTGTGTGTGTGTGTGTGTGTGTGTGTGTGTGTGTGTGTGTGTGTGTGTGTATATACATGCTAGTGGTTGCAGTTTAGCACAGCAGAGCGGTTTTCCTGTATTTGAATTTATTTTATTATTTTGTACTATCCCCCACCTCCTCTTCCTCGCTCGTCTCCTGTCATGCTCTACACACCATCACCTGTGTGTGTGTGTGTGTGTGTGTGCGTGCGTGCGTGCGTGCGTGCGTGCGTGCGTGTCTGGCTGTGAAAGGTAGATAACCACGCTCCTGATAAGCCCAGCAGGACGGTAACAGAACCACCCAGAGTTTTTTTTTGTCTTGTCTCTCTTGCCAGTTTATTTTTGTATTTATGTTTATCTCCCTCTCTTTTCCAG